AGCTAGACCCAGCTCTCTTTCCTGCTTATGCAGGGGGTCGGACTCGATGATCTATTGAGGTCCCTTCCGACCCTAACATCTATGAATCTATGAATCAAACCTGACAGAAGTTCAGTGTTTGATTGGGGGGAAGGAGAGAGACCTCTGAGTCTCCCTGCACTTTTCAAGCTAGGAGGCAAGTGGTACTCTGCAGCCTTCTGGGGCTGCAGGAGTCTGGACAGCTGTAGACCAGTGGAGAAGGTGGAGGCTGGGATGAGAGGCTGTCAATCAACTTCTCATCCTACCCACACCTCTCCCCACCTAACAGCGCTGGGAGCAGGCACCACTTCTCCAACAGGCCAGATAGCAGCTGTCACCCAGGCTGACAGCCTGGCTCCAAGCATTGGGTCCCCAGCCATGCAGGGGGGAAGGGGCATATGGTTGGGCATGTGTATGGGTGTATGCATGTGCATGTGTGTGCATGCGTGCTTTCGTGTGTGTCACCCACAGTGTGTCCAAGTATCTGCCCCCCTCCAGCCATGCAGAATCTCAGGGGGGTGTGTGTGTATGTGTGTGTACGCACATACCAGGAGGCAATAACCAAGCTGGCAAAGCCAATAGGTACTGGCAGGATTGCCAGAAATTTGACCAGCATATAGAAGTTAAAGTGCTGTATGTTGCTAAAGTGCTGTAAAATAAAGCACTTCAAATTTACTACCTCACTTAACAAGGGTTAATTGAAAGTGCTGGACCCATTTTTAAATTATTGTAAAGCTGTGCACTTCTGTTACATCCTGGCAATAAAGTGCTTTAAATGAAGAAAGCAACTTCTGTACACACTGTTAGGTAGGTTGCTATCTCTTCTGGCTGTGAAGCTAACCTGAAAGTCACTACTGTTCTGAGCCTGCAGCGAAACAGGTTTAAATAGTCACCATCAGAAGTTTTCTTCAGTAAGACATTTGAGTTCCTTTCTTTGAACTTGGTGGGGTGCTGCTGACTACTGAGTCTCAGTTAATTATGTTCTTTTGGCTCATTAACTGAATCTAGGGGTTCATACCATACAATGCAGATGGAGACCCTATGTATGAAGAGATAACAATTTTAATGGGAGCTCAAATCCAATTGACTTTCAAAAATGACAATAGGTATTTAGGAACTTCCATGTCTTTGAAAGTAGGACTGAGAGCTCTAAGACTTGTAGGCACTTCTGGGAATGTTCTCTTTATCCACAGAAGAATATTATAATAATTAAATTAAATGGGTTTTAGTGAAATTTGATGCAACTCCTTGCACATAGAGAATTATTTCAATTTACAAATGACTTATACCTAGAAACCTACTGAATTGGTGATTGCGTGATTAATGTAGAATCTGTGAATCCAGGCAGACTCTGTGATTTTGGTGGGCTTATTGCAAAAAACCCCGCCCCCAAAACCACCCCTCTCCTCCCCAAAACCATCCCCAAACCTTACTGAAAATAAAATGCTGGCTTCCCAGAGGGAGCCAGCAGTCTTCGTGGCACTTGCCTGACTGCTCAGCCTGCTGGGGGAGGATGGGGGCTGCTAGCATGAATGGCTGCCACCTCTACCCCTTGCCACTGATTGCCTGAGGGCTGACTATCATGTGGTCCTGGCTCCACAACCAATCAACAGAGAGGGGTGAGGCTGTATAATGGACAGCCTTCGCAACTAATCACCAGCAAGGGGTGGGGCCACCAGGGCCCCTCAGCCA